GATGACGCCATTCATACATTTCTCGCAGATCGTTAATGTGAGAGAAATGTATGTTGTTTTAGTACAAATATGTACATTGGTGGATATATTTAAATATATTTTTAGTAGGTTGGTAGGTAGGTTTCAGTACATAGTTTTAGTAGGTTGGCAAGGTGGGGGTCTACTAAAATCAAAATTAGTAGATTGGTAGGTAGGCTTCACTGTGGATAAATTTAAACATATTTTTAGTAGGTAGGTATCAATCAATTGAAATCATATCTTTTTTCATATATTTTGGTCTATTACAGATTCTTATGATACTCATATATCAAATCTAACAGTTCGTAGTGCTTTCGAACTAAAAACTCTTATTTCTTTCAAATAAGCTTGTACTAGATTACCAAAATACTGACTCGTTTTTAATTAGTAACTGCCAGTACATATATCGTATTGCATTTTTGTCAAAAGGAATAATCCAATCAGTAGCCGTAATCCGAACATAAGCTACACCTGTTCACGAGGATGACGGAAGTAATAAATATTAAATTTGGAACACATTACATAAGTACTTATTGACTATGTATGTATGTACCTATTAACTAACCTATTGAATTGAGGTGAATGGTGAATTTCCTCCTCTCTTCTATTGTTTACGTCGATTGCTGTCCCATCATTCGCTCGTATTCATATATTGAGGTATTAAAAAATACTTGTATTCATGAACATAATTAGAATATTTAAATTTTAAACTAGTTTGTTGACTTTTTTTATATATTATTTGTTTTTTTTTACGTATGGCGGACTTAATTTATTTATTCATTTATTTCAGGCAACTAGACCCATATTATAAATACCTTATAGACTAACACACATATAGTATAATATTTAAAAACTAATACAAGGATATTGTCTGTGTGATCACGGCACTGAAGACGGCAATCTGCCACGGTAGCGCCGATATACCACACCTTTCGGCCTTAATGCCTAATGGCAGTCTCTACCAGTTAATCGTCAGAGATAATATGGCGATTTTTATTGGTAGATGTAGTCAAGCGTTTCCTATTCATTAATTTTTACAATAGCATGGTGTTGACAACAAAATTAAACAAAATAAATTAACTAATAATCAATTAAACTATAAAAATTAAAATAACAATCAAACAATTTGATATTCCTTTACGCTTCCTAATATTATTTCTGTAAACTCTCAATTGAATATAGAAAGTAATTTATTAATTTAATGTTTCTCAGATCAGATTTTCTCAGATCTCCCGTTTGCGAGTTACGTGTAGAGTTGCAAGGCGTCCGGATAAAGTCGGACATAGGCTTTTTGATTACGTGTCCGGTTAAAATGAACAATGTCCGACTTACCCGACTTTTGTTAGGCTTTTTACATTATTATTATCGTAAAATAATTTATTTATTTTTTAACTTAGAAGATTAGTTTTGTTTAGATAGTGTTCTTTTATTTTGCTTTCGTTTTTGAAGTAACACCAGGTAAATGAGGCTATATTTGTTAAGTAAATTGTAAAAATGTTGATAAATGTTTAAATTATTTTTAACTGATGACTTTATTTCACTGATTTGGCATTCGATTTTATATACATTTCATTAGAATTTAACAATATGTATGTTAATAATAAAAAAGCTTCATTTTACATAAACAAAATTCTCTATACCAATTAATATTGAGACAGAATCCGCAATAATTATCCGGCCAAACTGGCTGATCTGTCCAGTTATTAATTTTTGCGAACTGGCAACCCTAGTTACGTGTGATGTTTTATAAATATCTGTAGTTTCCACAAATGATGAAAGTTCACTTTCGACTGTCACCTATGTTTATTAATGTTATTGCTTATATGCTTGTAGGCACAGTCGTGTTGCTTACAAATCTATATTTATTGTTAGACATTAGGCATAAAGTATCTTTCTAGTAATCTTTCTGCTGAATACCAGAACAGGTATAAAGTATGTTTCTATATTCTTCAGAATAGAATAGAATAGAAATATTCCTCAATCTAGTAAATTAGCATTCACTTTTGTATAAACATTTATTGAGTCTATTGCTTCAATATGAATGCAGGTTTAGAGAAGAATAGACAATACACTTGTCTGGAGTTTTTTTATAAACAAAAATTAACAAAATAAAAACTTGAATAAAAAAATACAATAAATTTGTACCATTTATTAACTACTTCCGTTCGCGGGTTCGATTCCTCGTACGGTGCAAACATTGGTATTCATGATTATAAAAAAAAAAAACAATTATCTATGTATCTATTTAGTTATTTCTCTATATATATTACGTACATATTTATAGAAAAATATATAAATATTTCTATATAATTATTTACATAACACAAGCTATGCTCAGCTTGGGACTAGATGTGTGAATTATCCTAGTATTAAACAAACGTTATGTTGTACAATAATAGAATCCTTAAATATCAGAAGATAGTAAATACATTTACTAGATTTATTTTTATTCAAATATCATCAAAATATTCACTTAATGTTAGACATGGCATCCTATACAAATATACATAATAAATAAACTGGCATTTAAAAAAAACAAGAAATTCAATTCAGTTTCTTGCCAGTTCTTCTCAATTGAATCTGTATACTGAACTGGACGGTAGGGGAAAAATATAATAATAAGAAACTAGCTACTCACCCCGGCTTCGCACGGGTGTACATGTATTATATATATAAACCTTCCTCTTGAATCACTCTATCTACTAAAAAAACCGCATTTAAGCATACATAGGGACGGACAGACAGCGATATCGACTTTGTTTTATACTATGTAATGATATGACGTTCATAAGCGACTAAAATGTTCTGCTACATGATTGAATTTGAATTTGTACAAACTGTGAATCGATCGATTATATATTCATTGTGACAATTAACAGCGTAAAAATTAAGTTCAACGCACTACCAACTAATGGCTGATGGGAAATAGAGCAAAAACAATCCGCTCGAGCAAAACCGTGGAATATGTCGATATAGAGACGGTTAGATAACACTGTCAGCAGCCTGAGAACACTTCGATACAGGCTTGTTACAACAAACTAACTTGTATAGGTGACAGAACAACCAAAATCAGTCAAGTATTTGTTTTATTTTAATTTGTTTTGTTTTATTTTACTGGCAGGTACCCGCGACTTCGACTGCGTTGAATTGAAATAAATAAAAGTTTAAATTTGAAATTACTACTCATAATTGTGATGGCGTCAGTGGTCTAGCGGTTTAATACACAGCTTTATTTCCGATGGTCGCGGGTTTGATTCCTCGCAAGGTGCAAACATTTGTATTCATGAGTATGAAATTTTGTATCGGTTTTGGTGTTTGCAATGTATAATATGTATGTATTTACGTAAAAATATATATCTATGTATTTGTATCAGTTATCTAGTACCCATAACACAATTTAGCTTAAATTGGTTCTAGATGGCGCTGTGTGAATATACTCATGAATATAAATGTTTGTGCCGTGCAAGGAATCGAACCCGCGACCATAGGAAGTAACGCGGTATGCTAAACCACTAGACTACCTAGGCCGTAATTATAACAAAGCATTACACGTCGTATAGCACCATAATACACGGTGAAGTATTGGAGATCACGATTGCGCGGGCGCAGGAATGCACTTTCTTATTACTGATGCGTACAATCTTCATCCGAGATGTCTCAAGTATATATGCTATTATGCGCCTACAGTTTTTGTGAACAGGCGAATGCACATTTTTATAACTATGTCATATCCGTTATTTTTATATTAATTTTGTGGCATGCTTACATAGTATAAAATGATTTCGCTGCTTCCTTAATAATTCCCAAATCGCGGGCACGTTTAATTTTGTATCTTTTCAAGCAATAAACATTAGCTTATTTCCTTAGTCAATTCCGGAAGCGTGAGATGAATCTGATAGGATACAATGGGATCCACTAGGGGATCCATCTGATAGATCCCCGCACAACCGAAATTACGACTGCTTTGGCCGAGATTCGAACCCCTAGCGGTATCCTTGAATGAAAATCGTATCCATCAGGCCTTCAGCCGCAAAGGCCAGCAATTCGACTCAAAATCTGCACTCGCCCTCTATCGTTCGGTGAAGCTGTAAATTTATTTATTTATTTGAGGCTACTAGGCCCATATTATAAATACCTTATAGACTAACATACATATGAAATAATATAAAATTAAGATATTGAAATTGTCTGTGTGATCACGGCAATGACGGCAATCTACCACGGTAGCGCCGGTACACCACATCCTTCGGCCAGTAGTCCTCCTTCATGAAGGTGGGCAGCATGTTGGTGGGGACTCGGGCCACAAACGTCTTGAAACTCGCGTTGTGGCTCGACTCCAGCTGCGTCACCCTCAAAGACCAATAGCATTAGAATAGATCTATAATGGTATAGGTACTCTCTCAAGTATAGGTATTCGTTATTAAAAAATAAAGCAATATTAATATCAGTCTATATACACGATGTAATACAGTTATTAGATATTCATAAGATATTGCCCAATGATTATTACACTAATGCAATATGTTATAAAGTTCAAACTACATCGTACATATCTGACACTTTCAACTTGCAACACAAACTCACTTTAGAATTTGCGAAATCTGTACGTCATCCGTTCGGTGTTGCCATTTCATAATTCACAAGTATGTGCAAAGTATGTTCGTTTTTAATTCGCAGTACTTTCTTAAGTGTCGTAAAAACCATTACAATGGCATTTTATTGTGAAAAATGTTTCACGTAAATATTAACTGACAAAAGATTTAAATCGCTATTTCATTGCATCTTAACTTTGAACCTTGAGCTTAGGGTTATTATAAAATAAGTTATTGTATTCATAAGTTTAATATACTTTTATTTTTACTAGTGACCTGAAAAGTCCTTATCGCTTTCCGACATTGATCTCCGTAGAAGTCTTTGAGGAAGCTTATCATATTTTTTAAATATAAATAAATGCCATAAGTTTTTTTTTTCTATCTTTTCAGCCAGAAAATGAGTACGATAGAAGAAGACAAGTTTCACTGGGGCATCCAGGGTTTAGCGAGCATCAGACAAGATTTGGCTTGAATTCTCCACTACAGAACTTCCAGACCCAAGGTGGCCTTCTCGGCAGCCCAACACAGAGCCCGATTCAGTTTTCCCAGCCGATCTTCTCACAGCCCCAACCGCAGCCATCTTTCGTGCCGCAGTTCAGTAGCATTCTGCCTAGTCCCGCTCTTCCAACAAATATTGGCCTGCAGAATAATTTACCTTTACCAAACAATAACGCGTTCCAGTTCCCTCAGCCACCAGTCAATCCACCCACGCTTCAGAGTAACTTCCCCCCTACGAATTTGAGACCACTGCAGCAAAACCAAAATGTACTTTCCCAACCAGCTCCAACACTGCCCACTTTCCAAAATAACGGACCTCCCATTGCGCAAAATGCACCTTCTTTCAACCATAATTCACCAAGTAATACAGTGAATATACAACCAAGGCCAACACAGCCCGCTTTTCTTCCAACAATCCCAGAGTCACAAAGTCAGCAAATTTTCAGTCATCCTAATCCAATAACTATCCAACCTGCACCGAATCTAGCGCCACAGAGCCTGAGTTTAAACAATGCGCAAGTACCTTTCCAATCTAACTTGGGCCAAACCCCCCTGTTTTCGAATGGACAATCATCCCAAATCCAAAATTTCTTTGAGCAACAGTCCAAAGAAAACCTTGAGAAACTGAAAGAGCTACAAGAGAGACAGAGAATAATTCAAAAGCATCAGGAATTTGTTCAAAAACAACAGCAGAAACAACAAGAAAAGGTAGATAAACTACATGAAGAGTTCTTAAGTAAACAAGCAACAAAAACTATACCAACTATTTCAACGACAGAAAATTACGAACATTTCTTCACCCGTAGTCAAGATAAACACCGACCAATCTTACCACATGAGACGGATTTGTTTAGGAAAGCTTTAGAAATCTATGAGAAAGAGCATCCAACAACTACAACCACTACAACAACAACGACTACCACTACGACACCCGCGCCAGCGCCAAGGTACAAACCTAGATCGAAGCCAAAGCCAAGAACTCCTCCTCAAGATAGAAAGAAGCAACAATTGTATAATGAAATAAAAAATTTGCTCGAAGAAAGTGAAACAAAAGGATTTGATGACAGCTTAAGAGCAAAAAGTGTAGCACTTTTACAGAAACCAGATATACTCAAACAATTAAAAGTAGCATTAGCTGAAAATCCCGAAGATTTCAGCGAGAAGAACTTTACGTCGCGGGAAATCTCTTTGAACGGCCAGAAGTTTGAAGTGATTAGAACCACAAATCCTAATTTAATTCCTAAAGGAGCAATATCAGCAGATAGTCCCAACTTGGCACAAATTGTAGCTGGTACCCAGGCACCACAAAAAGAAAGTCGTATTTCCTTCGAGGATTTAACCAAAGATGTTTTGCCACCCGGAGCAAATTTCGAGCTAATTAAACAATCAGATAATGGCAAACTCGAGGAAGTCTCAAAAATACCAAATACGCTCCAAAATAAGAAGAAGGTAACATTTGTTTTCTTAGAAGAGCAAGATGACGGCTCTTTCAAAGTCAAAGGAGTCAAAGCAAATGGTCAACAAACAGAAGAGGGGCCTGAAGTCGAAAATATTCTGAATAAAATAAAGAAGGGTGAAATACAATTGCCTGGAAAGTTGTCGAATAGTATTTTGACATCGACTACAGCCAATCCGACTACAGAAACAATTGACTACGTAGCTGAGCCGTCCCATCTACCTTCAAGTTACTCTAGTTTTGTTACAACATCCAGCCACGGAACCGTTGGTCATAATCTTGTTTCTCATACGACACCCATTCCAAACACATATCGAAGCAGCATAAGCCAAACTACAAGACCGACACAAACTCAGACTTTCGCTCCGTCATCGACTCGAACAGTATCTACGACTGAGAGATATATCGCCAAATCCACGTCTCCAACCTACGACTTTACAGCGAATAGAAATAGTCACAGTCCATCATCTGTTTCATCAACCCCAACTAGCTTCCCAAGCTCCACGTTCTCGAGTATCATCAGTACTACTCCAGCTTACCGCCACACCTCGGAAGACCTTGTGGTAATAGGATCTAGCGTGGTACCACCTACTGTGGATATAACCAACTCACCTTTAAACTACGGCAGACAAATCAATCCTGGTCTTGTCGATATCTTAAAAGAGAACGGCTTATTTGCAACCGCTAAATACTTACGTCAGTCTGGTCTAGACACCATTCTGAATGAAACTGGACCGTACACAATATTTGCACCTACCGACAAAGCGTTCAGAACATTATTAGTCCAGCTTGGTGGTCCTGATAGAGCCGAAGAGAAATTCCGGGATAATCCACGTTTGCTCAGTGGCGTAAGTATTATAAATTAATTAATACCTAATTATAAACTTAGTAATACTGAAACGTCAAAATTAAAAATTTGATTAAGTAGATATTTAAAATAACAAGGACCATGATCATTATAATTAAATTAATTCTAAAACCAGAAATAACTGCAGCTGATGAATATTTATAGCGCAAATTACGATGCGCAATAATTAAATGCAGTGACATATTTTAGTAATTAATCTAATAGGTGCTATTAGATAAATAGTACTAAACTTTTTCAGATAGTTAATCGTGCATATTAATAAAATGCTGGGACATATAATAGTTCCCTAAACAGCCTTAAACACATCCAATTTATCTTTCTTTCAGTTGCTTCTCCATCACGTAATTCCCGGTGCATTCGACATTGGGTCCCTGCAAGACGAGATGACTGGTGTATCTCTAGCGGGCACCCAACTGCGTGTTAACCAGTACGACATGCACGACGTAGAGTGGAATGAGGTCCGGGTCACCACCATAAACGGTGCTCGGGTGTTGGATGACAAGAAAGATATTCACATACCGCAGGTAATAATTTAATAATCTAGTTAGTACCTGATAGCTAGTGCTGTCCCGTGAAACGTTTTTGTTATTTTTAAATGATGCTCCGCTCCTTTTGGCTGGAGTGTTATTTTATATAGATTCCTTCGGTAAATGGTTAAACACTGAATTAATTTATCCATTCCTTTAAATAGTGGCTTTATAACCTCAGTAAGTATGCGTATAACAGTGGCGTACGAGTGCAGAGAGTTTATTCAAAAGTAAACAAAATAAATTTATGAGCATAGAATTTATTTTTAAACAAAAAAATTGATCTTAATAAAATTATTTAAAAATATCTTAATAAAGTTATTAAAAAAAAGAAAAGACAGCGAATTTTCAGTTACCAGGGGACAAACCACTCCACGCCACTGATAGATGAAAATAAATTAATCTATGGCTCCAGATATAATGTTAATATTAGTTGGACTCTGTTATCTACCAACTGTAACAAAGGATTAGAAAAATCGTTCGAAAAAGTTAATATTTTGATGGATAAAATGTCCATATAAAACTATTGACCTAATGAGCATACCAGTACGATACCTGAGCGAAAAGTTTGCAATATTCATGAGGACATGCAGCAAGACTTTGACGAATGTTCTTAACGATAATTTGAATACCTTGTTCTAGGGCATAGCTCACGCAGTGGACAGGGTGATGTTCCCATTACCCGTCGGGGACCTGGTGCAGACACTGCAGGCCGACAGAGACAGGCGATTCACAACGTTCTTGAAGGCGATTTACGCCAGCGGCTTCGCAGATACCCTTGCTGGTATGTATATCAATAAAAAAAATACATTCCATTAAAAAGTTCGACAATTCAACCTAAACAGATGAAAACATGCTGTAATGCAACCCATATTAGCTGTGTACAACAAAACTTTTTCAAGCAGTTAAAGTTATTGAGACCATTGATTTCTGAAGTTACACAGAGAAATAGAAATGTTGAAATGAAATAGAAATTCTGACCTTTCAAGCTCTGAAGGGATGTTGAAATCTAACATGAAATGAACACATGAAAATACAGGTTAGGGAGGTTGTAATCCTTATACCAACTGGTCATATACATAGTTAAGGCAACGATTACCATTCCGTTGGGTGTGGAATTCATTGAATGAGCGGCCAGTTTGGCATAGCAGCTAAATCCAAAAATTCCTATACTCTTCACTTAATTGCCCCCATCTTGCATTTATCCAGAACCTTTTTGCCACGCAAAAATGTGCTTCGACTGGAGTCTAATTCCAGCAATGGTATTTTTGACCTGATGTGATATTTAAACCTTCATGAAAACAGCATATTCCTGCTTACAAAGCCGGTATTTCATCTGCATTTCCCCTAGTGTTACCCGATCCTCATGGGCGGCGGTGATAATCATTTACCATCAGGTGTACAGCTATAAAAATAATGTGTGAATAATACAAAACACTTGTATTACAGAGAGCAAAACTTACACAATTTTCGCGCCAACTGATGCGGCGTTCGCACGTCTTCAACCGACCGAGCTCTCGCGATACTCCGAGAAGGCAGCAGCTCGAGCTCTGGTGGCCAGGCACGTCCTTCCAGGGACCTTATACAGTGCCGGCATGAGATACTACCAGCTGAGGAACTCCATGGAGGACGCTAAACCGTTGACGTTGCAGAAGAATGCTGGTAAGTTACTATCAACAATAAATATGCTTTTTTAATCAAATAAATCGTCTGTACCCAGGGATGCTAACTATACCAGGATTCTAGTAAAAATACAATATTTTTGGCCTTGGATACATTTTCAGTCTCAAGTTTATACAAGGTTCTGATCTAAATCGATGTACGGAGCCAAATTGAGTTAATATTTTTTTTTTGTTTCTTCGTACGAGGCTAAGTGTTTTAAGGTTGGTATACCCTTTCTGTACCCTATACTGGTCAGCGCTGGTGATTCCACAAACGATACGTGGGTACATAAACCATGATCCGGGGGGTAGGGGACTGTTAGTAATGTGGATTGATAACCCCATTGCTAGCAATGTACCTCCACGCGGTTCCCCTTGGAAACCACCGTGTTAAATTCCTGGTGAATTTGTCACGATGGGCTAACTGACCTGACCTCATGCTCATCTTATCATCCTCCACTGGTGCCCCGCCAGCGTAAACCGATAGCGCAGGCGGGTGCACCACTCCATTATCATCAACAAAAAAAAAATTACCATGATCCGTGCTCATAAGACTAAGGTGTCATGGTATCCCGTATACCCAGTAATTACACTGCAATCTATCTATGTTTACTTTATTATAACTCTCGATAAGCGAGTTATATTTTTACTATCCTTTATCTATGACGATAATTATGGACTTCCCCCAGCCATTTTATTTCGAGCGTTGAACAAAAGGTATATATCTTAGATATAAAACGAAATGATATCGTGTTGCAGGTCGAATCAAAGTGAATAATGCTCAAGTGATAACCCACAACATACCTGCAACTAACGGTGTCATCCACGCCGTCGACAACATCCTGTGAACTGCGCCCGCGGATCCACTACTGCCAAATTAGCTTCAGTGAAGCTTCCACTTCAATTAACAATAGACAATTACAATTTTCAAAATAACTTTTTTGTGACATTCGAAAACAGAATTTGTATAATGCGACGCTTTAATTCTATTTTTAAAAAATATAATTGTAAGATTGTAAATATAAATTAGAAATTAAGAAATTAATTTATATACACGTTAATGTTTTTGTAAATAAATTTATTAATATTATTTGTTTTTTTTTATATCATCCTTTAACGACATATAAAGAATCCAAAAAAATCCCTTTCTTAGAGTACCATAGATGGCATCGGTGGTCTTGCTGCTTAGCACATCGCTTTACTTCCAAAGGTCGCGGATTCGATTCCTCGCACCGTACATACATTTGCAATCATGATAATTTGTATTGATATGGGTGTTTTCTATTGTAATTGTTATATATGCAATTCCAAACAAATGTACTTAAGTATTGGTATGGGTTGTTTAGTACCCATAACACAAGCTACTTAGCTTGAGACTAGATGGCGCTGTGAAAATTGTCCATTTGGTTTATTATTAGTCTGCTTCGGTTTTTCGTTTTTTTTTTGCCTGTTTGTTACGCTTTATGAAAGATGGATCACATAGGGGACGACTTATTATTAAATTCAAATTCAAATCCAAAATATCTTCATTCATGTAGGTCTATTACAGACTCTTATGATATTTCAAATCTACCGTCAGTTCGGAATATTTTCGAAATGAGAAAAACTGACAAGAAACTCAGCTCGTATTTTTTTTATTAAATAATAATAAACTGAAGGGCGGTTATCAATGTGTTTAAGAATAAATTTCTTATATTCTTTTATTACAATTGATTAACCAACAAAGTTATACCTACAGCTACAAAACGGCGGGCTCTGCTAGTGTAATATAAAATTTAAAGTAGTTATCATAATATAAATTTAAATAAAAGAAAAACATACTTATTTTAATATTAATATATTATTAATAATCGTACAAACATATTAAGTACACTTACACAATCATAGATTATCCAGTGGCAGTGTTACATTATCAAATATATTGGATTGAAGTTATAATAAAAGTATACAATACACTATCTTTTGCGTTACAATATTATTTAGTATATTTGAATTTTAACTTCCTGTGTAAATATGATGCAACATTTTAATACTACATTTGATAATGTAATAAGGGGTTATTACAGGCAGTTGGCAGTTTGTATTTATTCAAAATTTCAAATATATAATGTTGAACAACATTTGTTTAAAAGAGCACACGCAACACGTTTCTTAACCGTTCTTCAAGTGATGAGTCTGCTTTCCGAATGAGTGTTAGAATAAAAAAAATATATATGACTATATTCATATTTCATTCCATTCTTATGGTTATTGGGCTCCCTAAAATATGGTCGAGCGCAGTGATGGCTGGCTCATCCGTCATAATCGTGAACGAGTGCTGCTTGTAGGGACTGGTCTGCTCTTATTACTACGACTGATTTAATCTTATTGTACATTTATATTTGACCCAAAACAATTTGTTCTGGATGGTAGTTTGTATTCATACGTTTCGACTTGTAAATGTAAACTTACAGGGATTATTTAAAAGAGCAACACACAAGTTTCTTGCTCGTTCTTCTTATGATGAGACAGTTTCCGAACGAGCGGTAGATAAAAAAAAATTGTTATGACTATTCAAAAGTGCTTAAGTTAAGTTTATTTGAATAAATGATTTTCTATTCTATTCTCATCATTGACTTGTAGATTTTGTTTTTAATCATTGGTTAGATATATACTGAGTAGAGACACCAACCGTACGACAACCGTCGTTCTTGTACAATAACATTTATGTCTTTTGGTACAACCAAGGCCGTTTTTCACCTATTAGAGGGTCTGGGCACATTAGGATAATGAGACCCCTATGACTATAGTAATAAAGCACTATTTTGTTAGAATAAACAAAGTAATTTTTGAATATGACTCTTTAGAAATGCATGTGGAGGTGCCCTTCAAAACAAACCAGGTAAAATTAATTTTAAAAAGTCGTTATGTGATGAGGAGTTCAAGTTCTTGCTAGACATTTAGCAAAATTAACAAAAACGAACAAATTGACCATAGTAGGTACCAAGACTGATTTTCAGACGAGTAGAGTAGCTATCGGTTATCGTTTGGTAATGGAGTAGGAACTAGACTAGACTGGGGAACCCCAATCCATCGCGGGGCCTCGGGCACGGGCCCAGTATGCCCAGTGGGGAAGAGGGGACTGAGTACAATATTTTCTTTCGAGATTTCTGAGTTCTTTGCACGAGACTAAATTCAAATGATCCAAAGCGAAAGTTGGATAAGTGAAGATCATCATTATATAATATTTGGTCATGACTGAGCAAATAATCACTACGCTATACTGATGGCAACATTGACCAGGCCCACAGACTATAACCGTCACATTAATACGTGAAGCAAGAACTTTGTACCCCTTTTTAAGAAAATAGCGCGGACGGAAGAGTATGAAATTTCGCACACTCATAGTTTATATAGAGGAGTGCAGCTTGCCAATATTTTTTTTAAATTATGCATAAAATACATTTAGTCAATAAAAAAAACATCACACAGACTAACCATGTATTTGACACACACACGCATGCAACGTACTCTTTTGTTTAATTGCTATTGCTATTGAAAGATCTATCTGTGTTCTTTATTATGGTCAATTTTCAGCCAGTACCATGGGTATATTATACTGGTCGAAAGACCATGGGCCATGGCAACATGGCCCATGGTCTTGGTAACACTAGTTATTATAAAAGCGTTAAGAATGAAAAACCAAGGAAACGATAAATTAAAATTTGAATAAACAAAATTATACTACTATGAACATATCATAGTTCAAATTTTTTTACAATTTTATGTATATATACATGTCTTCATTAAAAAATGCTATTTTATATAAACATACATATTATTGCTTCAAATATAGATAGCGCCGTCGTACCTACATATTGAGCGAAGCTCAGTCGCCAAGGTACTAGTAAATACAACCAGTTCACTAAGAGTGTATAATATATAGTGTATAAATATATTTAAATTAAAAAATACTAGCCCAATTACTTATAAATAATATTTCGATGTTTTTGGGTAATATTTTTTTAAGGCGGAATGGTACTTGAGGCTGACGGATAAACAACTGACACAACATTGTCTATTTATAGGTAGATGTGAGTTAATTTTATAATCAATACTTTCACTGTCTTAAAATTCTCAGTAAAAAGTATTACGAGTTTCAAGTGACATAAAAATCTAAAAGAAAAATTTGCGTAAAAAATAAAATTTAAAAAATCATTACGTTTGTATGTTTCTTAAAAAAAAAAAACACCAAACGCATGTAGACGTTACAGATACAGAAACATTCTTAAAGGACTGGTTGCCAATCACGAAAGATTCTTAAAATATAAAACACAGTTGTTTCTTTGAAACATGCTTATAATGATTAATCTTTCAGTAATCTCAAAAAAAAAAAAGATTTATAAATTGTACTTTAACCCTATGACTTAAGGTTCGTTTTGGCTAGCATCATCCTTAAATGCGCTATTTCTTCTTCTTTCGCAGCTAATTCTTCTCTCAAAGTCTTTATGGTGTCATCCTTATTCTCTGATAAGTGCTTCAACTCTTCGAGGAGTTGATGTGAATCTAACCTCTTATTGGGTCGCCTCTGCACCAGTTTGCCGATGATGTGGGCAATTTTCGGATAGTTGACTGTGAGGTGAGCAGGAATTTGACCCTTGCGGAGGTCTGTGATGGTCTTCACACGCTCCATGTGCGTGCTGAAGGGTTCTACCATCTCCAGAAGGATTATGCCAAGACTGTACATGTCACTCTGCAAAAGAAGGATAAAAATAAATAAAGGTATTACTTAATGTAAAGTGTATCTTAGTCTAATTACTTTTTTTAATATCCCTGAACAATTCATACAACACCATCTAGTGTCACGCTAAACAAGTGACAGAAATACTGAAATACTTTTTCTTGTAAATATATGCGTAATGTATATAGATAATATCTAGTTATTTTACAACACAAACAATCCTACTCTTAAATACAAATGTTTGTACCGTATGAGAAATCGAACTTGCGACCGTCGACCGCAGAAGCCGTCGAAATAATAATATCCCTAGACAATTCACACAGTGCCAGTGCCCAGCTAAGCAGGGCTTGTGTTATGGCTGCTAGACAGCTGATATTTGCAGCAACTAATTTTCTATAAATACATACATAATATACATAGAAAACACTCAAGACTGATACAAACAATCATACTCATGAATACTAATGTTTGTATCGTGCTAGGAATCAAACCTACGATCATCGGAAGTGCTAAACTGCTAGTTGATAATATTCTATATAATGTCTAGATTATTACCTTTTTACTCATGAATACTACTGTTTGTATCGTGCGAGGAATCAAACCTACGGCCATCGGAAGTGCTAAACTGCTAGTTGATAATATTCTATATAATGTCTAGATTATTACCTTTTTACTCATGAATACTACTGTTTGTATCATGCGAGGAATCAAACCTACGGCCATCGGAAGTGCTAAACTGCTAGTTGATAATATTCTATATAATGTCTAGATTATTACCTTAGGATTACACTGGCCTTCCAGTTGTTCAGGGGCAGCATAAAGCTGAGTGCCGAGCGCCATTCCCCTATGAGACTGCTGCAATGGACATGCCAGTCCAAAATCTCCCAACAGCACCCTTAACTCATTCGCACTCTCCACCACAAAAATGTTACTAGGCTTTATGTCATGGTGAATAATTCCCCTAGAATGTATGTAATTCAACCCATGTACGATCTGAGTGAACATCTGAATAAGCTTATCTATGTGACTCCAAGATGCTGGGTAGCACGCGTCAGGAGACAATGGTGACTCCGAGTCAGAAAGGTATGAGAAGTCTTCAGAATTCTTTCTGCAAAGCACCATTTGGTTGTTGCGCACATCCAACCATTGCTTCAATGTTTGCGGGCAGAACGTCATCTGTATGTACAGTGTGGCCCATTTCAGATTCACACGCGAGCAGTGCTCGTATTCTTTGTCAGAATACAATTTGCATACAGCATTCTCCTCCATTCCAGAAACATCATCACTATCGGAGATGTATATTTCATCTGCTGAATTGTCATTATCCTCGAAACTGTTTGAATTCTTAAAGGATATCACAAAGTCAGAGAAGCTGTTCTGTTTTATCAACTCCTTCGAGTTGTGGGTCTTGAACGATGGTAGAGTCTTGGGATGGGCTGATGACAATTTTGATTGCATTACCGAAAATTCACTATTACTGTCTGTATCCATACATAGCTTGTTTTTGTCGTTGCTCGGCTGTATCAGTGGTTCAAGCCAGGCTGCTTTGTAGCTGACAATATTTGGGTGATTCAGACTTGCTAGTGTTTTAACTTCCGCTAAATGATTCATAATGGAGTTGACATCGGACGATTTTATATAGACCTTCTTCACAGCATACTCCACTCCGTCCAACCTGTGTCGAGCTTTGAACACGCAACCGAAACCACCTTCAGCTATGAAGAATAGCTCTTCAAATTCCATGTGGTAACGGGACCAATCCAGGGTTGACGATTGGATGATTGGCCATGACGCTGGCAAGCTTATTGGTATTTCTGATTCGTTTGTGACTGTCACTAGTTGATAAAGAGCCCTTTGGTACTGACTTCTCATGACCTCAAACTCTCCCATGGAATATGAGTTGTCGATCAGGTTCATGCTGTGCAGCTTCTCGCAGATGGTGTTGTACAGTTGGTTTGCTCGCAACTGGTCCTTCTCCAGCAGTCCACACAGCTGCTTAACGAGCGACTGGACCAAGAGACTAATGGGTGTGGTTGCAGTTGAGTTGAACACGTCAACTTCTTGCCTACTACGCTCCAATATGGAGTCATGACGAGTATTATATGAAAGACCTGAAAAGAAACATATCATCATAGTTTAGTGTACATAATATAGTACACTGAGCCTTAATATAATCTGACATATAAAATTCTAGGGTCACAATGTTAATTACCATACTCCTCCGCAACAGCTTGTACGATTTTTATATGCGTATTCAGTAGGTGTGAGATTCGGCTACTACCTATTTTTCATACCCCTAAGTGATAAAGGTTGTCCCCCCCCATAATTTTTTTTATTCAAAATATCTTTATTCATGTAGGTCTATTACAGACTCTTATGATATGTCAAATCTACCGTCAGTTAGGAATAATATCGAGATGAGAAGAACTGACAAACAACTCAGCTCGTATTCTTTTCAAATAAATGTTGTACATGTTTTCATTAAAACAGATTCATTTTTAAATTCTAATTTGGAAGAATAGAATGACCACCATATGTTATTACTAAAGCAAATAGTCTAAACAGTGTTCATAACCCGAACAGACCAGTCCCCACAAGCAGCACCCGTTCACATGTATGATGGGTCAGGTGCAGCTTGTGAGAAAATAGTTCGGGTTCATTTCGCAGCATTGTATTATCATCAATTAAAAATAAAACTATTTGTCCTCTCTTAGATAATCCTCCTGATGATACCTATATATTTACATTGTTTTTGTCTTGCATATAAATTGCTAATTATGATAACGGCATATTACAATTTTGTTATAAACATTTAAATCAAAGTAAACCAGAATATACTAATTTTAATCAGTTCAGTACCTACTTCAAATTTATTAAATGATTGTTTTTACTGATAAGCTATTAATTACCAATATTTTGCATACTGATTAACAATAACAATATATGTATGTAAAAATAAATAAAACTGAAGTCTAATAGATTTTTACTATATGCATATATATAGATAGATAGATAAATGCTTTATTCATCAATTACAAACACATAGTATACATGAGATACAGAAAATAAATTGTACTAATTATAAAATGGAGGCAGCTTCATGTATCGCAAAGACAAAGAGGCAACCAACTCAGCATAAAGCTCAGCAAAAAACTCAGCACATATAAATCCGCAGCGCTGATATTTATATGTAGACTCTGATAATTAAAAATATTTATACATTTGTACAACATATATATATATATATATGTGTGGGATCAAGGGTTTTCAAAATGAAAATTTGTTGCTTTGTATTACTATGTATTTAAAACTCTTCTTATAATTACAATAAAATAACACCATTGACCATCTCCTGAGAACACCGTAACCAGAATGAATGACCTAATCTATTGCATCTAATTTTCTATCTGTCAATCTCACTCACTCATGCATACTCATACATTCTCCTTCATTATATGTTCCATTATAACAAATATCTCCTACATATATATATAACATGTAAATCAATACCAGCTAAGAATGGGGGTCTACCCAAAACCAAAAAATATGGTAAGGGGTCTACAACACAAAAAAAGTTTGTGAACCTCTGTTCTAGACCATGTTTACATACTTAGATGAGGTTAATTAAGAAAAAAAATATATTACAAAACAAAAATGTAATTAGTCTGTATATAGTCTGTGAAAATGTATTCTCGAGTTAGTGAAACAATAATTTATTGAGGAATAAAAAAATGTGTTTTGAGTTTTAAAGGTTGTGCTATTGAGAAGGAATCCTTGAGACTTAGATGGACAAGCAGGTGGTCAAGTGAAACCCTGGTTTTAAAAGCATGTTGATTGCCAGACTGCACAAGTTTTTATAAAAATAATCAGGGACTTTTGAATCAATAACATCAAGCAATAAAATCCTAAAGTAAACATTGTAATCTGACAACACTCTCAAAATCACAGTTGCTCTGGAGTTTATCACAAAAATATCAACCTACATTGTAGATCAACTATGATTGAACATAATTCAATAAAAAACACAAGCAATACTTGCAACTTGCAACATCAAAAACATAAATGCACTAAGTTGGTTACTTAAGGCTTTGCAAAATAAACCTTAAGAGATAGACAATAAGATTTAAAATAAAAATAAAACAAGAGTACATGCATTGCTAGAAGTTTCTTTACATGTGGGTGAAATGATGTGGCTAATCACAAAAAATATTATTATACATGACACAATTGTATTTATTAAATAATATTTAATAATAATTTATTGCACATATAAGGATAAATTTAATAATGTTTAAATTTACTCAATCGAATGAATCATTAAATTATGGAATGCATTGTTCTTTTTTTAAATAATGAAGTATTTCTATGTTGGTATAACTGTACATTATTCATTTTTGTTTTTTAATTAGTTAGACTGAGGCATATGTAATTTGCAGCCAGTTTAACTCTAGTATACCATGACCTATAGCTTTTTACATACATGAATGTATAGAAATAAATAAAATGAAAGTATGGACACTTTAATTTTATTTATTTCTATAAATAATAAATTAAATATAATAATAATTTCAGATTAACAGATTTTCACTAAATATATATGAAAATTTATGTATGTGTATGTTTCTTTAAGGTAAGTCCTATACTTACATTAAAGAAATAATTTTAAAAGAGTTCATCTGTTGTTCTGTTTGTTGTTGGTTTGTTTTTTCTTGCTAACCTCGGAATCGGTTAGACCAATTTTAATGGGACTTTCAGTCGCAGATAGCTAATGTTATAAGGATCAATTTAAGGTAACTTTATTTTAGAAATTTTGTTTATTTTAATTTTTTAACAGGAACATTTAATTATTTATGTATACAGTTGATATAGTTACACCACTGAGAACAAGTATTTACAAGTTACAAGTGGATGATGCAATGTATACCGGTGCCTATAGTAATTCAGCAATTTGTTCTAACTGGTTACTCTAAGAAGTATTCAGTTTATTAGATACCATATACCATAAATGTAATATTTAATATAGAAAATTCACCAATATATGATGGGCAATTAAAACCAGTCATTATGAAAAACTATCCGAAAATAGGTTAATTCTCAAAACCAGGCAGTTACTTTGATAAAAATCGAGAAAATGTTGCAAAAGTTTTTGTGACTGCATCAAGGTAGAAGACTACTGAAAAACCTACATTTTACTTTCGAGGTAACAAATCAATGATCGTTCTAGAATGTTCGAATGAAATATAACTACTAAAGTAGAATTCAATAATACCTAAATCAAAGGAAGTAACTGTGGCAAGAGCCTCCCATTTGTCCTTCTGCTGCCTCTCCATTGTTGTGCTGTGTTCTATTTCTGCTGTAGCCAAGATCTCACTTCACTGTAGTCCATGAAGACCATTTTCAAGTGAACTTTTATTTGCAATTTTCAAAAGTATTATATAAGGAAAGCCAATTTAAAAAAATAAAACTTTAGGTCAATATAGTTAAATAAAGCGAACACAGATCACAAAATATTATATAAAATATTATTAAATTATGAAATTATCGTAATCTGAAAGCTGTCAATCAAGTGTCTAAACGACTGTCAGTCTTTAAGTGATTGACTGTCTGCCAAAGTTTTAATCAACGATGTAATTATAGATTATAAAACAAAACAATCAATAAGCAGTGTAGTGCATATTATATTGACATATTTACACTCTTATTTACTTCAACAATTTAAAAAATATTTAACCACTAATAAATTTTATAAATATAGTATTCTATAAGAGTTATTTTCCCAAGCTAGGGATTTTATTAAATTCATTACATACTGCTACGAACTATTTTTTTATCTTTGTGACTATTTAACGCTGAACTCAAAATAAATGTTTTGAATAAATAATGTTAATAATCGTAATAAAACATGATATTTTTTTGTAATATCGATGTAGTGTAAAATAAAACTTATAATCGATAGTTTGATCGCTAAGCCTAGATCTATTATGTCTCTTTTGATGTGTACTAACACTGACAGTCGCATGACAGTTATACATTAATTTGTAACATCTGTAATCTGTGTATATTTGTCTAAACTATTTAAAATAAACAAGTTTTTAAGTTTGCACTTCATTTTCATTCTATTTATTGTTTTCATTTAAAATACATTCATAACAATGAACCTGTTACCAAAAACTCACAAGGAATTCAGTGAAAAGGACTATTGGAATAAATTCTTCAAGAAGCGTGGTAATAAAGCTTTTGAATGGTAGGTTATGTTTATAGAATTTCTAATATTTCGTATTTTATATTTTCTTTGCGGAGAGCATAACAATTATTATCAATAAAATTTTTAAGGTACGGTGAATACTTGGAACTGTGCGCGCACCTCCACAAGTACATAAAAACTAAGGACTCCGTACTGATTACCGGATGTGGTAATTCGGGCCTCAGTGCCGACCTTTACGATGTCGGCTACTCCAATATAACAAACATAGATGTATCAGAGGTTGTTATTAAACAAATGAACTCGATAAACTCTCATAGAACGGGAATGAAGTTTGTTTGTATGGACGCAATGAGTATGTCGTTTATGAATGACGAATTTAACGCTGTTCTTGATAAAGGTACACTGGATGCTTTAATGCCGGATGATGGCGAGGAAACCCAAAGGAGAATTGATAAATATTTTTTAGAAATAAAGAGAGTGTTAAAATTGGGTGGTCGTTATGTCTGTATATCATTACTTCAGAGTCACATATTAAAGAAGTTGTTGACAACCTTCTGTGATAACTCGTGGATGTTCAGAGTCGTTCGGTGTCATGATGCCGAGGAGAAGAATGCAGAGAGTGGTGATGGTACTACATTACCAGTGTTTATAGTTATTGCTACAAAGTTTAAAGTAATGCCACAACAAGTAAGTTGAGTAGATGTAAATTTTGTCATTAAATTGTATAACTAAACAATTATTGGTCAAGTCTGTTTGTGCCACACCATAACAGGGTCAGGTGTGTAGCTGACTAGATAAAACATCTAGGTAGATATATTTGGTATAAACATGTCTATAATACATAGCCCACAGGTTGTTGTGGAGGATGATACAATGTCATGGTCAGGACAGTTGGCCTATTGTGACAGATTCACCTGAAGAGAAATTTAACAGGATAGTTTCTAAGGGGAACTGCATTGAAGTCAACCTGATATGGTACATTGCTAGCTATGGGATCATCAGTCCACATTACAAACAATCCCTTTACACATGTAGGTCAGAGTTATAAATTGATGCACAAAGTGATTTCATGTCAGAAAGATTAGAACAGTTTGCATCTTCAATTATTTTTTAGGAGTAATTCAGGGCACTGTACCTGTTCTGTAGAGAATAGGAAATGCCACTTTAACATCCTATGTGGTTGTAACTCATGCATAAATGAAATATCTCCTTAGGAAAGTATACACTATATCCTGAGGAGATAAAAACCATTGCTCCTAAGAATATCCTTCAATTCTTGTCCCTCTCCCTCTTCGAGCTGAGACTTTGCAGGCATAAAGCTACTATGACGTAAGCATCCCCTAAGAAAGGATTTTGATAAATTGCACCCCTAAGGGGATAAATTAACGCGAGTGAAGCCACGGACAAAAGCTAGTTTTAAATAATAATCCAATCCAAGTCCATCAGTTGTTAACCCAACACTTTTTTATTCAGATACTTGAAGTATGCATGGCTGGTGACAAAATGATAAGGCTAAGCAGACCTGACGAGGTAACAGAATATGTGAAATCTGCTCAAGATGCTGCTTTCATCACAAATGGACTAGCAAAGACAAATCTAGAGGATGACAATGAGGTGACCCACCATTAAATTGTGCTAAAATAAATCAAAATGTCTCTATTCATGTAGGTCTATTATAGACCTTTATGACATGTCAAATATACTGTTTGGAGAGTGTTTTCGAGAAGTGTATAGAAACTCAGCTCTTATTCTTTTTAAATGAGCTAGTACATGACGACAAAAATACTTATTAGTTTTTAAATTTAACATATCCACAGTTTGTCTTTATTTCTTACAATTAAGCAGAATGTAGTGAAATATGCTATTACATTTTTGTTTAAAAGAAATAATCCGATCAGTGGTTGTAACCTGAATGGACCAGTTCCCACAAGTTCCCGCAATTCCCTACAGCAGATGATTTCGTAGCATGTATACATTATTCTATACTTAACTTGCTGAGCTTGGCTGGCTACTTCAGTAGTCTCAGCTCTACATGCACAATGGCCAGGATGAGAGGCTCAATGCGGAGAACTTGCTGCGCTCATCTGGATCCATAGTGCTCATATAATAGAAATAGAAATAATCTTTATTCTAATAAACTTAATGTAAGCACTTTTGAATAGTCAAGTTTTTTTATTCTACCGCTTATTCGGAATGCAGATTCATCACAAGAAGAATAAGCAAGAAACTTGTGTGTTGCTCTTTTAAATAAATATTGATATACTTATATTTAATTAATAACAAGGATTAGGCATGCGATAATGAACATAGAAACCGCTACGCACTCAATCTCTGTTCAATCAGATAACATTGTCAGCGCTATGAATTTTAAGTTAGATATTTTCTACAAAAACATTATTATCATTTATAAATTCTTCAATTTTTTACAAAGAATATATTTTATGATACATTTCATTTTTTTTTTCTGGCAAATTGACTACAGACTGGGAATTTCTTGTAAAACCTTACGCAATTTCCATAAAACGAATTACTGACTTTCGTCAAACGGCACTTAGGTAAAACTAGTTTGTTGACATTACGTAAGCTTTTATTAGTGTAATCACCTACTTTTTTTAAACTGTTTATGTTTTTCCTGGCATACATAATATTTTCGTAGATGTATTGAGAAGTAACGGTGATATTTGATTCTTTAAAACATTCACGCAAAGACTCCCTGGAACCCATACCGTAAATGGAGCGGATGGCCCTCTTTTGCAAAATAAATACTGTATTTATATCAGCTGCTTTGCCCCATAATAAAATACCGTATGACATAATGCTATGAAAATAGCTAAAATACACGAGTTTAGCCGTTATAATTGTAATAATTATCTTATTGTAACATCATGGAATGCAAATTAATAAATAAATATTAACGTACAGGTATCATTGGACCTGTACAAACCTGGCGAGGACCTACCGCGGTACACGCTGTATGTGGTCGATCAAAAATGTTCGCAGGCCGTCAACAAATACGCTGTTTTCATTGTGCCACAGGGCAGGTTGGTGTACATTTTAATAAGATTTATAAATAATAAATTAAGCTATTGACACAGAATTAGATCGTTATTAGAAATTATTTAATGCATTTATATTATTTTGTTTTATTCCGTTAACATTACCACGTGTGCTTGGTGCCGAACGTGTGGAAAACTTGTACCAAAACTACTCAACGGATTTTGTTGAAACTTTACAGTAATATAGCCTATACGGCTATATAACACAATTGGGCGAAATATAATGATAAACTTCAAGTAAGTGTAACGCGAGAGAGAGATAAGGTAGTAGAATTACTGGATATATTATTTAGTAACGCACAACATGCGTGTAATTAAAATACATCAAAGCAATTAATTGCTACTGGAGTTGAGGGCTTAGAATTTAAGTCAGTCTCTAACTTGATAACTGATTAACTCTGTTGTGACGACCTGGCGGCTGGAATGGAAGAGACCAGGCACCTATGCTTTTACAAAGTCCAGCTCTGTCGTAAATATGTTTGTTTCATTCATTATATATAGTCTTGAAATGCAGTCAATCAAACGCTCGCAAACATCACAACAAAACATATTTCTAAATTTAATAAAAACTATTCGTATCTCGAAGTAAACATGTTCTGAGATAGCGTTCCTATTTACATCGGCCTCGATTTAGACGCCCGCGCTGGTTTAGCGCGCAATCTTACGATGGCCGCGGGTTTGATTCCTCACACGGTACAAACGTTTGTGTTCAAAAGTACGGTTCTTTGTATCGATCTGTTTGTTTTTTGTGTATTTAGAAAAAAAGTATTTCTATCAGTTATATAGTACTACTGACACAATCTCTGCTTATCATGGCGTGACAAGATGGCGTGGTGTGTATTGTCCATCGTTATTATTATTATTATGCAACGCTGTCTATTATTTTATTAAATAATTATATAACAATTGTAGATGGTTTATTTAAAATATAACACGCGTCGTTGGAGTAATTATTATGAATTACGAGTCCCTCAGCTTGGTAGATACTTAGAATAAGAGCTGAGTGTCTTGTCAGTTCTTAACTCGAAATCATAGGGTATCTTCTGTTAGAAGTATGAACTATAGTAATGTAATATTTTTATTTGTTTTTAATTTATGACAGAGTTATTTTCTGTCGTCAAATTAAAAAAATATTACATACATCATAATACTATTTTTACATTTAAATAATATGACAATATATTAAATACATGAAATACATAAATCTTGTTCTCTTAAATCTGTGAATAATTTTATTTCTTAATAATTCGTTACTTTTTGGCGCCAAAATATTTTTACTTTTTAATATGGACTTATAGAAAAGAATAGAATGAATAGACAATCATTTATTCAAATAAACTTACATTGAAGCACTTTTGAATAGTCATCACATTTTTTTTTAATCTACCGCTCATTCGGAAAGCTCTTTCTCGTTCTTCTTATGAAGAGACATAAGAAGAACGAGCAAGAAACTTGCATGTTGCTCTTTTAAATAATTTTATTATTACTTTACATTTTTAAGTTTAAATGTGTGAATATATAACCAACTAGTTAAACAATTAATAAGAGGAAATCAGTCATAGTGATTAGAGCAGACCAGTCCCTACAAGCAGCACCCGTTCACGAGTATGACGGATGAGCCAGCCATCACTGTGCTCGACCATATTTTAGAGAGCCCAATACCCCGGCCCACCAGGCCGCCACAAGTCTGGACATTTTAGTGAACATGACTACTCAAAACACCAGACCACATACCTACTTACAGCGGAACATCATTTAACATCATCTTATACTACGGAATATCATATAAAAGCTCTATTGGTATTAATAATATTTATTTATTAAAAATAAATTATTATAAATCGTGAATAAATTGAACAGGTTCAATTCAGGTAACAGACTGTAGTGATGACGTGATGTTTTTGATTCTGTCGTCACGTGTGCATGTTTTGCACTAACGCCTCCAGGGTTGGAGACATGCCCGGAGGCGCGGCCCGAACAAGAGCCGCAGTCGACGGACGGACGGACGGACGGGCGATTGGTGCCATATAGCAATATAAAATATCATTTGAAACGTTTAGAACTAACAACGTCGTCTAACATTTAGAAAAATTCAGTTGACAAATTAGCCACTTTTAAAGAGGTAGGTATTTATATTATTTCATCCCTTTTATTTGAAATCGCATGTATAATAATAGTGGGGTATTACGGAAGAAATAAAGGGAAAAATACAGTTTTAAAAAAAATTGCAATTATTTTTTTTTTTCACGAGTTTGTCATAGAGTATTTTTTTGTATTCTAATATCCAAATATTGCAAATTAGATTTTGTTTTAATAGGTTTTTCATAGAGTATATATTTTTTATTGTTAGGTATTCTATTATATATCATATTGTCCAATTTTATCCCCTCCGATCGATCTCCCGTCCAATTCAAACGGGGATCGATATTACGACGGCCTGAGCCGAGGTTCGGACCCCTAGTGGTGCCCTTAGACTAAAGTCGTACCCGTCAGGCAGGAGTTGGCCTTCAGCCGCTCCATAAGTCCTTCCGCGGGTTTGGAGTGCCATTTGCACTCGCCCCCTAACGTCCGGTGAAGCTGTAAAAGCCAGCTGCGGCCAACGGCATTAGAGTAGTCCGAAAAAAAAATGTCCAATTTTATTTTAGATGGACTAAAAGTTATATCCTTTTTTGTATATATCATATATAACCTTACATTTTCTCCAGTGAGTAGAAAAAGACGTGAAAAAGTGTGTCGTACAATATTAAAAATTATTTTAAAAGAAAAAAAACAAAAAAAATTGTTATGTGTTTGTATTAGTTATCTAGTACCCATAACACAAGCTTTAGCTAGCTTAACTTGGGTTTAGATGGCGCTGTGTGAAATGTCCTGAGATTATTATTATTATTATATTATTATTCATTTCTCATAAAAAATATTTAATTATAATATAGTTTTAATAATTTTAATTGTAAATTAAAATTATATATATTATAACGCATTTTAATCATTCTAATTTAATTTTGTGTTTTCTTTGTTAGATGGTTTTTGTTTGTACCTAAGCACATATTTACTGCAACATTTAATTTTACCACCTTGTTCTTTGGTTCAAAGTACCTACATATAATTTGATATTTTTTATTTTTTATGATGGCAAATAAATATCACTGTTTGTTCATTGGGTGTGTCCTGTTACGTAGATAAAGTACTATTGATTTACCTCGCAATAAAATCAAATATAAAAGTTAATCCTTGACTTCTCAGTAATCTCGCCTTTGAAAACGTAATAAAAGTTTCATCTTATTTCTAAACATATATTTAAAAAATAGTTCCGTAGTTGTATGATATATAGGTACAATATCTATTTATTTTATAAATTAGGTTCTTATGTGAATGTAGGGAAATGTCAGGACGGTAATCCGAACTGACGTTACTCCCTATGTTATGTTGATGTAACAAAATAAACATTATAAATTTTGTTATTTAACAACAACCTACCACTGAGTCGATTTGATTTGTTATCGCCGTTTCTATCGCTGGAGTATTAATCAGAAATATAAAAAGACTCGCAGTTTTTTTTACCAAATTGGATATTTCTGTTGATCTGTTGTTATAGCCGCAAAAAAACTGTGAGACGCGTTTCGATTGGTTGGTGAGATATGGCAGTGGAATTACAAGGTACGGCATCAGGGAGAGAGAAAAAGAAAATATTTAGGGGGCCGCATCAATTCAAGCGGCGGGGTACAGCGCTGCCGTAGATAAACGATAATGGCTCGTCTCTCTGTCTACCTCGTGAGGAATCTAGCGTGAAGTTAAATATAAATAACGGCTCATTCATTCATCACGCTCTCCTTGTTTACATTCGTCCCGACCACTAACATTATCCAAAATAACATAATATCTGTCAATATGTTTATTCCAAACACGATGCAGTCTCATTTTAGCTCGCCTTAAAATATAACACGCGTTGGTGGGGTAATTATTTTGAACTGCACTAGGACACCTCCCGACTTCGCCTGCAGATATAATAATAATAGTAATCTCAGGACAATTTACACAGAGCCATCTAGACCCAAGTTAAGCTAGCTAGAGCTTGTGTTATGGGCACTAGATAACTGATACATATACATAGATTTTTTTGTAAATACATAGAAAACACCCAGACCGATACAAACAATCATACTCATGAATACAAAATGTTTGTGCCGTGCGAGGAATCGAACCCGCGACCATCGGTCGTAAAGCCGTGTACTTGACCGCTAGACCACCGAGGTCGTCAAATAATAATATCTGTAGATATGTCTGAAAAGTCCTAGAAATTGATGAAAATGATATTACACCTATCACGCACATTAATAGGTTCATATTGAGTGTACATACACATACATACATACTGCACTTGGTTTCGGCTGTGGATTCGAAACTGGTTATTAACGGTTTTAACCAAGCTGTCAAAAATGCATTTTACGTTATTAACGTTTAAAAAGAACATCTATCCAAAAGAGCAACACACAAGTTTCTTGCTCATTCTTCTTGTGATGAATCTGCGTTCCGAATGAGTGGTAGAATAAAAAATATGATTATTCAAAAGTGGTTGTATTGAGTTTATTTGAATAAATATTATTTCTATTCTATTTCTTTATAGCAAAATAAACCAATTTACTAATATATACGATGAATCTCGGTACAACTGCAAACAAAAAAGTTATTAAATATCTACAAAAAAAATCATATGAAGAAACCGAAAGTCTTCTGAAAACAGAATAATAAACATGAAAATATATACGAGTATTAAAATATAATTTATTCAACATCAATAATAAGCTGTATTCCCACAATGATAATCATACATACATACATACACACACAGATATACTACATACTTTGTTGTCTATCCTTATTATTCTAACTCTATTCAAAGTTGTAAACTATCTGATTACCCATGAGCCGAGTGTGGGGGCGGAATTCTGTAACACAGGTTTTTCCAGCACAGATTCCGTTCCATTTTTTTATATTTTTATATTTATAGGATGTTTATTGTTAAAATAATTTTGTATATACTAATAATGGAATGGAATAAACAAATTTTATTATTATTATTTCTAACACACTGTATAAAATATTGTGTCTGCAGGGAGTCTGAGTGGTTATTCGGTACTCCGGCCGGGCGACGACAGCTGCAGGATTCGGCGAGGTTCGGTCGCCTCGTGGTAGCGGTGCTGAGAAGAGGCCACCATTTTGATAGTCTCGACGCTGTGAAAGAAGAGTTGGCACATTCCGCCAAGATGCTCATACCTTATGGCTTCGTTGGACAGGTATGAAGATTGTAATGTTTTTAATCTAAAATTGGATTTATAAATTAACTGATGGCTATTATAATGATGACGGCCTCGGTGATCTAGCGGTTTAGTACATCGCCTTACTTCCGATGGTCTCGGGTTCGATTCTTCGCACGGCACAAACATTTATATTCATAAGATTGTTTGAATCGATCTGGGTGTTTTCTATGTATTTAGAAATAAAAATCTATGTATATGTATCAGTTATCTGTAGTACCCATAACACAAGCTTTAGCTACCTTAACTTGGGCTTAGATGACGCTGTGTGAGTTGTCCTGAGAATATTATTAAATGACAACCAATTTTGAATAATCATATTTTTTTTATTCTACCACTCATTCGAAATAATTATATAGGATAATTATTTCGAATGAAATGAAAAAAGTGGTAGAATAAAAAAAAATATGATTATTCACAATTGTATCAAGTTTATTTAAATAAAAATTGTTTCTACTTCTATTTATTATATTTGACCGAACTCAGTGGTCTACCGGTTTAACACACCTCTTTACTTCTGATGGTCGCGGGTTCGATTCCTTGAACGATGCAAATATTCGTATGATTGTATCGGTTTGGGTGCTTTTTATGTATGTTAAAAAAAAATAATAACCTTGGACAATTCAAATAAGCAGAGCTTGTGTTGTGGGTACTAGATAACTGATATAAATACTTACATATTATTTACATAATATACCCAGAAAATACCCAACCTGATACAAACAGCCATACTCATAAATACAAATGTTTGTACCGTGCGACGAATCGAATCCACGACCATCGGAAGTAAAGTATGCTAAACCGCTATACCACCGGGGCCGTCAATAACCAGAATCCCTCGCTAGATACCATTCGTGTCGCTGGGCAGCGACGTGGGACGCCGTGTGAAAGTATACGAGGGGCACTCGGAAATATCTGGAGACTTCGTGGTGGAAGATGTGGATGTAGAGGGCGCCACTCACCGCAGACTCGTGTTTTTGGACAACCAGTTTCTGGTGCAGTCGGAGGCGAAGTTGAAAACAAGTAAGTTGAATTAATCATTTCTCTTTCGCGAGCGAATCGACTTTCACGCTAGAAAGAATGTGCGTGTAAATGTAAAATATACCTGCCTTTACACGTACGCTCTTTGAAGCGGGAAGGGGTTTTCACGCGAGAAGGAATGTGCGTGTAAATGTACACAAAGAAACGCGTGCGCGTGCGCGCCGCCAGTTAACGCATTCCGGCGTTCTTCAATCGTGCGTGCTTTAGCGCCTTTTATTACAATTAATATCATTACAAAATGGGGCATATCCGACTATAGACCATAGATACTATTTTTAAATTATGTCTATGGTCCAAAACGTTGTGTTGAAACATATTTATGAGCACTCACTAAACGACGAATGACGAGCGTGCGTGGCAATAGTTGTTCATGCACGGGATTTTCATTTAATGTTAGACATCTATATAAAAATAGATGTAAATAAACTGGCTTTTTTAAAAAAAGTAATACAATTGAGTTTCTTGCCAGTTCTTATCAATTGGATCTATATAATGAACTGGGCGGTAGGGAAAAATTAAAATTATGATGTAAAAAATTTGACGTTCATTCGGCTAAAATGTCCTACATGAATAAATGATTTTTTGAATTTGAAATCAAATATATAAAAATAATTGAAGTTTAAACCAACTAATTCAATAATAGCATGTAGAGGCAGCAATTTTTTATATTATATAAAAAATTTTACATTCATAAGCGGCTAAAATGTCCTACATGAATGAATGATTTTTGAATTCTTGTTTCTATTGTAGTAAAAAAGAAGAATAAACCAAGAACAGTGGTTGATTTCGGTCACATATCGTTCTACCACTCCTTCATGTGCGTGGGAGTGCAGTTGGCTCGAGCTGCTTCCTCCCGGGTGGCCGTGCTGGGTCTGGGCGGCGGCAGCCTCTGCATGTTCCTCAGGAAGTGCTTCGATGGACTCAAGGTCACTGCTGTCGATATAGACTCTACAATGTTGGATGTGGCACAGAAACACTTCGAGTTGACCACCGATGAGCAGTTAGAGGTGCAGATCAAGGATGGACTGGATTTCTTAAGGGACGAAGCTGAGAATGGTCAGTGAATATAGATAAAACCTTATAACCTTATACAAACTAGTGTTACCCACTCACTACTAGCAATGCCTCACTGTTGGGTTGACTGGTAGAGATCTCTTTTAGAGATGAATCCACCTTTGCTCACTTTGTATGTAATTTGGTTTACTACTGTATTTAAAAGTGCAATAAAGAATATATAAATAACCTTTAAGAAAAAAGAAACTTATTCCTTCTTATAAAGCCCAGCGGAATTGCAAGGGCGGTGCTGCCCTTGCAATTCCGCTGGGTTGGTTGGCTTGGGTTACGGGTGCTCATGGGCAGCGGTAATCACTTACCAGCTGGTGAGCCGCAAGCTCGTTTCTTTTTGATGGTATGATGATAACTAGCCCCGGATATTAAATTCCAGGCTTGTTACCTTAATTTACTTATAAACTACACTACTTATTTACTATACAATACCGCAAGCTCATTTGTACCTAAAATCTATGTATTTGTATCAGTTATCTAGTACCCATAACACAAGCTTTAACTAGCTTAACTTGGATCTAAATGGCGCAGAGTGGATTGTCCTGAGATTATAAATAGATAAACATATACTTACAGGCATAGCCTAGTGTGGAGTTATAAAATGTTAATTAAGTTTTTCGAAATAATAGTTATTTTATATAATATAATAAAAAGTTATTCTATTCTATTCTATTTGTGGTTGCAGGCAATAAATACGAGGCCATGATGTTCGATATGGACAGCAAGGATCGCACGTTGGGGCTCTCGTGTCCGCCCAAGCAGTTCCTCGAACCAGACGTGTTGGATAATGTCAAGAGTGTACTCACTAATGACGGTAAGCATATGACGTATTTTATATACGGTATCCGTTTACCTATGACTAGGGTCCTTACAGGACACAAATTGAACAAACATATGGCAAACCTAGCGCTGTGTACAACAAAAATCCGCAGATTTTATTTATTTAATTCTGGCTACATGCCCCATATTATAAATATATTAGAGACTAACATACATTAGAAATAATAATAAAATGTAAATTCAAATTGTCTCTATGGTCACGGCACTGACGTAGGCAATCGACCACGGTAGCGCCGATAGACCACCCCCTTTCGGATAGTAGTCCTCCTTCATGAAACTTCAGATTTGCCAAACCGAAGAGGAAATGCCATTACACATCCTACGTGGTTGTAACCCACTCATACATAAACGTAATATCTCATTTGGAAATTTTACACTCTATCCTGAGGAGATAAAAACCATCGCTTCTAAGAATATCCTTCAAATCTTATTGTGGTAGCGAGCACCATAGATCTATGTAGCTCGCAGTGCTACAGATCCAAGCACCTAACAATAGCTCAAAACCGTTTACTCATCAGATAGGCCATATGGTTTATTGTCACCTCTGTTGTATAAAAAAACCCAGGACAGATGTGTCTGGCGAAGATGGAATAGAAGAGCCTACCCGAAATAAAATGGAAAATGGCTAGGCAGACAGAAACTGTTGTATATAAAAACACAAAATTTTAATTGAAGCATACCACAATATGTATAATAGTGAAAACGGCACACAAGTCGATTAAGCCGTTACTGAGAAGAGCGCGCTCATACATACAGACAACAATTATAATATTGATTTCGGTTCTATTAAGAGGATAAAGTACGCCAATTTTTCTCATATAGCTTGTATGTACAGACAGTTACATTTTTATTATATACTATCTGTTACGACATCGAGTGTTATATTCTTGTATATTAAATAAAAGTAGTGTGCGAGGAATCGAATCCGCGACCATCTGAAGTAAAGCGGTGTGTTAAACCACTAGATCACAGAGGCCGTCAAACAATAACAGTAATTTATGATATTGCGATATCAATAAGGATTATTTATACTGTCTACTTGTCTGTTTAATGTTTATAATTAATGAAAAGATAAAGGTAACATTGTAACTTTATAACGAGACTGTATACATAATCATATGAATTGTGAGTACATTAAACTTGTAACATTTGGGTAACGGAGCACCGACCCCAAAGTCGTTCACCACAATCGTAGTAATGCACTTAAAAAGCAAATATATATTATATATTATCATGCTATGTTGACTTATTTCCTTTGTTTGACCAACCAACAAAACTAACTTCTCATCGTTTCATCTTCCACTGATTTCCACACGCCCCTCCGATCGATACCCCGTGCAACTCAAACGTGGAAGAAATTACGACACCCTGAGCAGAGGTTCGAACACCTAGCGGTGCCCTCAGACTAAACTCGTACTGTCAGGCGGGAGATGGCCTTCAGCCGCTCTATAAGTCCTTACCTGGTTTGGAGTGCCATCTGCACTCGCCCTCTAACGTCCGATGAAGTTGTGAAGACCAGCTGCGGCCAACAGCCAACAACAACAACAGTTAGTGCAGGCGAAAATACATAAAAATCTAATAGTTATAGTAGAAATTTGCAATGTTTAATTTTACATTTTTATCCGTTTATTTTCAGGTATTTTTATATTGAACCTCGTCTGTAGAGACACGTCTCTCCAAGATTCAATACTCCAAACTCTGAAGCATCACTTCACACACCTGGTGAGAGTGAAATTGTATGAAGAAGTGAATGAAATCGTTTTCGCCACTAACACCAAGAAATCATACTCCACGAATCATTTCGAAGAAGCCATCAAGAAACTGAACACAATAGCCAGGGAAAAGAATCTAGTGAATATAAAATGTGTGGATTTGAAAGACTTTTTGCAATCCGTAACTGTGATTTCATAGATATACTAGCTGACCCCGCAAACTTTGTTTTGTTATATATATTGAAATCGCTATTAAAAATAGTGATAGAAGGGTGAAAATTAAGAGTTGTACATATTTTTTTATGCCATCTTATAAAATATAAAAATTTTGTTCAAAAAATAAATGTGCACAGCCCTTATGACTTAGGGATACAAATAGATAGTAGCAGATACTCAGACCTACTGTATATGTATATAAAATTTCATAAAAATCGATTAAGCCGTTTCGGAGGAGTATGGTAACAAACATTGTGACACGATAATTTTATATATAAGATGAACTATGTACCTAGTACCTACCTCGGATGTTCATTCATAAAAACTATCAATGTTAGAGCTGCGTCTATTGTTATTATATTTTTATATAACAAATTTGAACCTATTTTTCTCAATAAAATTATATCGTTTTAGGGAAAATTGTAGAACAAAGTTGTTATTACCATAATGGGTAGTTTTTCAAGGCTTAGTATTTCATATCCTTGCGGCTTAGTATACATCATCATCATCATCATCGCAACCCGGAAGACGTCCACATAGGCCTCCCCCAAAGATCTCCACGACGATCGGTCCTGCGCTGCTCGCATCCAATGCCTTCCAGCGATCTTGACCAGATCGTCGGTCCACCTTGCTGGAGGCCTTCCCACGCTGCGTCTTCCGGTCCGTGGCCGCCACTCGAGGACTTTACTGCCCCAACGGCCATCTGTCCTACGAGCTATGTGCCCTGGCTTAGTATACCCTATATAATATTAATAATTACGACTAAGAGGTCCGAACAGTTGCAGCAGTAAAACTCTTTTGTTGATATTGTAAATAACGCCAAAACTATTACATAAAAGAGAAAAGAGATGTGCTCTAGTAGCAAGGTCGGATAAATAATTGAAATGATTATCGCTCGATTTAAATTAATGGTTGTACAGTTTACAAACAAAGTTTTGCCCGTGTGGATTCCATTATCTTGCCTTCCAGTGGTAATATCGAGAATTCCTTAGTTGTCGTTAGAGTTCCTTATCGTTTCCCGGCCCTTTCTTAATTCTGTCAATCATAGAAAGAACATTAACAATTTTAAATACCTCCACAGTTACGTTATGATAATTAAAATTGCGAATTTAAATTTAAATAATGTCAATATTAATTAATTTATCTGTGTATTCAATTTCTCTCGACCTTGGGTGACTAGACATGTCTGTAATAACATGTATATAACGTAAATCTTGTTATCTGCACTGTTTATTTAAGTATTGAAATTGTATATTTTTGTAAATACTTTTATGTTACTGTGATAAAGTGAAATAAAACATGAAAATATAAAATTAATGCATTTAATGCCATTTCTTTGTTTACTGAACATCCTTCGAGACTAGCACTCGCATCCGTCTGCATTTATTGTCACATCTGTCGCATTAACAGACAGATGTACGCGCACACTGCATCACACCGTTTCGCAAACACCACTGCATAAAATCAAATATAACAGGCTAACAATTAGGCTTCCTAATTTATCACAATTGGCACCTATTGAGAAGTCTAACAACAATACAAAACAGTTTTTAACAATAATTTAAACCGTACAGTTAATATTCGCAAGGAAATAAATTACAATAGCTATCCGCCTACGCCACACGCGTTTACATAATTAAATACGATTACAAATAAGTCCTCAAAACACTTTCTTCAGCATCTTCTTCAAACTTCTCCTCTTTTTGCTGCCACCACTTTCGTTGTCTTGCTGTCCGTTCTGTGAAATTTCTGTGGATTCAGACCATAGACTGCCAGTAGGTGACTCTGAGGCGGCCTTTTTGTTTAATTTTCCATTGAAAACCGGTTCCAGATTTCTAACCACCGGACTTGGTGTACTTCTGCTACTCTGTCTACTAAATGTTTTAAGAAAAGCTGGCGATGATAGCCGCCTCGTCTTCATAGTTTTCGTTCTCAAATTGTTAAAGAATGATCCATTTGTTTTCGGCAGCTCTTTTTTTGGTGGACTTTTATCTTTATTGTCAATGAATTCTTTCGGTTCTGTGACAGGCGCGAAGAACTCGTCCTCGTCTAATGGTATGGGGTTCTCTTGTAATTTGCCAATGCTGTCTTGTCTGCTCCAGTTTACTTTGGGATCTTGTTCCACTTTTCTGTGTATAATCGATGTTTTTCTTCTTCTATTCTTTTTAGCTACTTGCCACTCTCCATCGAGGTCGTCAACGTCCTCTACGGACTCACGGGCAATCTGCAACGCCTCTTCACTTGGTCTTCTCTTTTTCGCGGATGGTGTTGCATGCCCACTGACGCCTTCAACTGATTTTCTCCTAAACTTATCCTGTTTCTTTTTTGTTTTCTTTATAATTGGTACAAGTATTGGTTCTGGCTTAGGTTTTCTTTTTACATAATAGTAGGCTGCAGCAATGATTAAAGATTGAAATATAACAAACTTAAAGAATGTCAAGTTGCCAAACCAACTGTCTCTCTCTTCCATGAGCGTGTTTAACATCGTAGACATTTGACCGAGTTGTTCCTGCATGTTTATCATCTGTTCCAAGTACTTTTGTTCCCTCTCGTTGCTTTTACGTCGTTCTTCGGTCATTTGCGCGACTGTCTTCTCGAATGTCTTTTGCATTTCTTCAACTTGCTTCTTATATCGCCTGCTCAATTCTTCAAGGTACTGCCCCGAAAGAGACATATTTCGCTCGAGTGTCTGAAAATAGAAAAAAAAATCTTAGTGTGCATTCTAAGTAGAAAACATTGCTTGTTGGGGATCAGACCAGTCAATAGAAGCAGATGTGATAAAGTAATGTCCGTAATAGACGTAGATATATGTATAACTTGTTTGCTATTTCAATTACATAAAAAAAGATACTTTAAAGGACAGCGATAATTCAAAAACATTTCATTATAATCTTGTTCCACAAAAAAACATAATTATTATTTATTCAGAACAATATATGTATGTATATTTAAATAATTAGTTACACATATATTTAAATAAAGAAAATATATCAAAATATGGTTTAGTACTAGGGCGATAATTATATGCATAAATATTTTCTGAACTACTCACCTTAACTCTATTTGACAACCGCAGGAATACTGATTCTTTTTGTAATGTAGCCTGACCTTGGTTCTGATTTTGAGTGGTCTGACCAGCTGGTGTAGGATCGACTGCCATTTGATCTAGCTCAGACATAAAGTTTTCATTATCAATCAATATGTGATCATTTATTTCATCACCACCATTTGTAGGGGTATCCTTGGCTTTTTCTGTTACAGTTTCAATTTTGCCATTTTTATCATTTAATATGGTATCTCTAATTTCCGGGTCTGGAGTTACATCGGCAGGCTTATCGGATTCCGATATAACAGTTTCTATTGGTTGTTCTGGAATTAAATCTTCTACAATCGTCGCAGGTTCCTCTATTTTATCATCTATTTTTACATTTTCTTCTTTGGATAAGTCTACGGTTTTAGGATTACTGTCAGTAATTTGTTCTGAGCTAATTGGTTTTTCTTCCGATAGCAAAGTATCATTGATATCTTTAGTATCAGTTGAGCTGTTATCTTTATTGGGTATTAATTTAACTTCTTGTTCAGAATTTGTTTCGCTATTCAGATTTTGTGGTGATTCGTCAGTTCCATTGCTTGTAATATTTAATTCACTCTCGAAACTAGTATTTAATACAACCTTTTTTTCTTTAATAGCTAAGATATTACACAGTGCAGCTAAATACTTTTTGGGAAATAAAGCGTTCATATATGCGACGCGTTCCTCACTAAATTCAATAGTCTTTGTACTTTTAAAGTCTAAACCGAAGAGTTGACAAATTCCTGTACACTTTAAAGTTTCCCGTAGAAACACTTGACGCACTAAATTAACTAATTTGTCCGAACTACAACTAATTAGTTCATACACTTCATTGTAAAGAGTTTCACTGCAATTATCACATACAATAATATGGCTGGGAGAACAACACCGTTTGTACATCTTGTCTATTGACGTGTCGTTGTGTTCAGAAGACATATTTCTAGGAACTTCCGTTTTGACTAATGCTTGTGCGGCTTTCTTCATTATAGACATGACGGCGTCTCTCGCGGAGCCGAATAAGTTTTTTGAAGGCTCAGTTTCCGCAGCAGGTAAGTCAGGAACGTCTATAATTTCATCGTCTTCGTCATCATCAATGTGAGCAATATGCTGCGCGCTTTCTTTCTCTAATACTTCAAATTCTGATGTTCCGTATACTTTGAATAACGATATAGGACAATAGTGTTCGGAACCGTGATGTGACAGCATTTCTACTTTGATAAATTTTCCAAACAAATGTGGGTATAAATCAAAACTTTGCACGTCTCTCATATCTTTGGCGGTGAATTGACCGACGCTGGCCCATTCCCTCGTCGGGAACCGATCGCTGAAATACACAGCGATGTCTTTGGGAGTAGAGGAGAATAATTCAAAGTTAGCAATTTCCATTTTTTGAGCTTGAACAGCTTCGCAGAGCTCTACCACGAACCAAATGCGACTGTTGCATGTATTGAGCATATATTCATCTCTATTCGGCGACAGTATAGAACTAGCCGAGCCTGCTTCCGAATTTACGGCTACAATTTTAGCACCGCAAGCCAATGAAGCGTAATTTTTCGATCGTAATTTGGTACTTTTACTACTAAAATTTGTATTACTATGACTAGGTTGACTCGAGTGATTGAGTACTGTGTCTTTTTTCTCAGCTTCTGCTAACTGTTTCTGTGCCCACTCAGAGAAAGATGGTATATCTTCTTGTGGCGTTTCTGGTTTGGGTGGAATGTTTTCAATTACTTCTGTTGGCTCGTCTGGTTGAGATTCCGTTGAGCTTTCATCTGTTGTAAGAGGTGTGGTAGTTTGAAATGCATCGTCGGTTTGTCTAATTTCATGCATAGGTTTTGATTTGATTACAGGCCACTGTTCAGTACCATCTTTCTCGTCGTCTGTTTTTCCTTCCTCTACTGCGTCCTTCTCCACAATAATAAATGACTTGGTATCATTGTGTTGGTCGGAATCGTTGACGAACAAAAGTTCGTCAGGATTCTTGAGTTCCAATCTGGCGCTATCTCCTAGAGAGATAAGAACGGGAGGTTGTCCGGTGTCAGGTAACCTGCAACAAATAAAATTTAAAAGTAAATAAGAGCTTTAAAAGTAAATTAGTTTTTATATGTTCAGTGTATACATAATTATTTTATTATGTAATAGAAATGGAGACATAATATATATCGGCTATGATCCAAATACCATTTTTACACTGTAGGTCCTATCTCTATATACATTAGTAAAAATTGCACATGTACTTAAGAGGGTTGTTAGACTTAATTAGTAGATTAAAAAAATATATCAAGTAATAAAATACAATTAAAAACCGGAACCTTCTGTATTCAGATTTTGAATTGTAAACTCTGAGAAACTACATAAAATGACAACCCTAGTTATATTAAAAGTCGTAAAGATAATTATGGCTTTTATCTATAACATTTACACAATTCCGCATATCAACCAATGCAAATAAATCGTAGATAAAGAATGGGAAAAAATCCAGACCTAATCTTTACAATGTATTCGAATTACATTGAATACTACACGTTTGTCTATTCACCACGAGTCTACAAATGTCAACGTCCGTGTTGTCAAAGAAACATCAGCCATCATTCATCAATGTTGCGTCATATTTGGCACCGTATCGATGTTTACGTGTAAAAAAATCTTGATGAGGTGAGGTGGCCACCGTACGACAGTATTTTTCAGAACAGCAGCGGCGTCTGACTGATATGGGGCATTCGCTCCCTCCTAGGGGGTGAAGGTTGTATGTAGCCTCAAGGCGGACCTCTATGCCCCGTCATCAACCTCGGGGGCGACAACCCCCGGTAGCTGGACTCAGCCTCTTAATACGGGTTGAATGACTATTTTTAAGGACTTTAAGGACTATTTTTTTTTTATTTATAATTTTAATTTTTGTTATCTTTTTGTTTCAATGCTTACGTGTAAAATATCTTGGTGAGTCCTTGGTGGCCACCGTACGACAGCAATTGACATATCAGCAGCGCCGCCAGCAGCGCCCGCGGCGGCGACATCCTGCACGCGCCGCCGCCGCATTGGCGACGCACCGATACACCTATCACGACACTACTACGCCCGGATGACGCAAAACACTCTTCACTTTACCGTTTCATGCACTATACACATTGACCTTCACTCCTCGACACTGTATCCGAACGCACTTTTTGGCGGGAAGTGAAATTTACGCGGTTTGACAGTTTTGTTTTGACAGCTCGTTATTTTTTAAATTCGTTATTATTTTCGCAGTCAACATTTAGATATTTTTGCAACTATATAATACTTCTTGTAATATAATGTCACCTAAAGCAATATTTATGGTTAGAGTGCTGCAATATGCGTATATTATGGGCAGCTATCCAAAGACAAGATGCGTTGTTCGGTTAGACGCAAAACGACTGGACATTGGCGCCACCGTATCGTCTGCCAAACAACGGGCTGGACAATGATCTCAATAGAGTATTAGATCAATTGTAACATATAAATTGAACGTACACTGTGATTGTGATTGACCGTATATGTAATGAAAGTTAATTAAAAGTAAAATGTACATACTATACATTGAGTATAGTAGACACATTTTACTTTTAATTAAATTTCATTATTACACTACTAATTTATGAAAGCAATTAGGGAGTACTTATACAAAATAATGAACATTTTTTGTAAACAAAATAAACCTGGTGTACGATTAAATGGTAGTACACCATCTATATCTATCTATACATCTTTTTTTACTCTGGACAATTAACACAATGCCATCTTACTAGACGGTTGTGTTTTAGATACTAGGCAACTGTTATATATATAAATAGAAAACACCCAGACCGATACAAACAATCGTAGGTACTCATGATCCGTGCGAGAGTCGAACTCGCGACCATCGGAAGTAAAGCAGTGTGCTAAACCGCTAGATCACCGAGGCTGCCATTATAATCCTTATATATACATACATTCATATATATATAATATACGTATGTATATATGTGTGTGTATATTACATTAATTCGGTCACAATTATGTAATATGCAATAATATTTACTCCATAGGTATTATATCATCTATGACTATATAATTATAATTAAGAGAAAATCGCTTAAAATCGCTGCCAGTGACGAGCGAAAATTAAAAGTACACAAAGTTGGAACCACTTTGTATATTTTTAATTTGCACATCACGCATACGAGGAAATATATGTAACACTGTAATCGAAACAAATTCGTGCATTAATACTTGTATTTTTTTTAATACTTTATATAGGTAGAGTGATTCAAGAGGAAGGTTTATATATATATATATAATACATTAGCTTTTGCCCGCGGGTTCGCTCGCGTTAATTTATGCCCTTAGGGGTAAAAATCCGTTCTTAGGGGATGCCTACGTCACAGTAGTTTTATGCATACAAAGTCTCAGCCCGATCGGTATAAAATTGACAGTTTCATATAAACTTTCATCCCCTATTTTATCCCCTTAGGGGTGGAATTTGTCAAAATCCTTTCTTAGCAGATGCCTACGTCATAATATCTACCTGCATACCAAATTTCAGCCCGATCTGTCCAGTGGTTTGGGCTGTGCGTTGATAGATCACTATGTCAGTCACCTTTGAAATATATATATATATATATATATATATATATATATATATATATATATATATAAATGTAGATGAATACCCGTGCGAAGCCGGGGCAGGTAGCTAGTATTAAAAAAATAGCAATATTTCTCATACTATAGACAGGGTCAAACATATTTGATTGTTACAATTTAAATATAAACAAACCATATTAATCAGCTCTGCGATAATAAAAGTGAAGTGAAATTTTCATTGATTGAAATTATCGACTTGTTAATTAGTCATTTTTAATAACAATGATAACATTATTATCAATTTGTGTTGTAAATATTTGTAACTTTACATTCCATTCTACTGGAATGACGTCAGCTGGCGCCATGAAATATTTAGTAAATCAGTAACTAGAGCGCTAGTCCGAAAATCTAAACATAATTATTTTTATATCCAAGATTCAGAATTTATGTAGCTAATACGGGGGGTCAGCCCCGTGAACTCCGTTGCGCCTCAAAATTAAAGGAGTTTTGAAGTTTAGTTACAGTTCGTATGGAAAAATAAAATTGTTGTTTTTACTATTCTCTATGCAATTTCTACATATTTTATCACCGTTTAAACATTCCTTGGACTTCCACGAATATTTCAAGACTAAAATTAGCAAAATCGACCCAGACGTTCTCGAGTTTTAGCGAGACTAACGAAAAGCAATTCATTTTTATATTATATATATAGATATAGATATATATAGAGAGATAGATAAGAAACAGGACAATAATAATAAATCTATTTATTGCCCATAATAGTACAGTGATACAGTTACACAATTATACAGAATTTTATTATGATTGGCAATAGATACAAGCTCAGCTCTTGCTGGACTGATGGACGTCCAGCGCTGGTTTTCAGTTTGTATCTACACGGGCGTACCTAACCGAATGTTCTAGACATCTACACCGTAATATAATGAAATACACTGTACATAAAGATTGAGAATTTGTAGAGTTATTTTTAAATTTTGGACGAGAAAGCTATTTCGTTATGTACTTAAAATTGCAACAACGAAAAGTGTCCTGATGGAAGTGGCAATCAATGAATAGAGATATGACCAGCAACATGAGCATAGAGACATAATCAGCAGCAGACCAGAGGTTGGAATTTTAGTAATCACTAGTAATCCCATGTTTGTTTAATTAATAATAATGGAATGATGCACCCGCCAACGGTTTACGCTAGCGGAGCACCAGAGGAGAGACGAGCATGAGGTCAGGTTATTTAGCCCATCGTGACAAATTTACAAAAGTACTTTAGTATAGCAAGCTCGGCTATTTTTGCTCTAAAAATATCTCCACTGCGTGCAGAAATATTCACTGATAGAAATAAATCTGTCAAGTTTACAATCTGCATAATATTTTGTTGGTCAAAGCTTTCTATAATCTATTCCCATACAATACAATGACGACGGCGCGCGCCTGTCAATTCTTTACCGTGAAAGCAATACCAATTTTAATTGAAATCTGCCACATAAATCTATTGTTTTCATTTTGTAACCACGTAAAACACATACCAATAGGAAAAGTTTAATTAGGTAAACTGTTTACACGTAATCATGGCGGCTGAAACTCTGCCGAAATATCGGGAACTCAATAAAAATAAATAAAACGTGGTAAGAACTCGTGATTTTCCTAATTGTATGTATAAAAAATGACCGCAACAAATTTTAATTTGATAAGAATATTAATAATACTAAAAATAAATTCTACTAAAGTTTTCTTGGTATCGTAAGCTTTCCGCTTTGATACATCATAAGAGTCTGTAATAGAACGTCATGATATTTTGACTGATCCGTTATACTTTTGAACGAGAGCAGCTTTTATGGACTGATCTGCTCATAAACACTATGACTGATTTAATATTTTGCCTCTTCAAATTAGTGGTAGTCATGACATTTCAACTTAAAATGTAAAGTTACAACAATTATTTAAAAGAGCAACGCGCGAGTTTCTTGCGCGTTCTTCTTGTGACAGCTTACCGAATGAGTGGTCGATGAAAAAAAAAACAATAATTACTCAAAAGTGCTTAAATTAAGTTTATTTGAATAAATTTTATTGTTCATGATAATTGATGATTTTCATTTAATGTTAGACATCGACACACCTAGAATGTCCTACATCAATAAATGATTTTTAAATCTGCATTTAAAGGATTTTCTATTCTATTGATTAATTATTTGGTTTAGGAAAAAAGTGGTATTTTCAGACCTAACATTAACTTACTGTAACATATTCGTTCCGGTGACCTACAGTGGAGTTGGTCACGTGGGACGACGACCTCGCGTGCTAATTAGTACCACTAATTATACCACCGTCCAGTGAATCACACACAGAACCGTTACGCTTTACTCATAGATTATTGTTTTTTTTTCGAACTATATATTTATTCTAACGCTGTTAACCGCAGCTGGCCTTTATAGCTTCACCGAATGA